AGTGTACCTATTCAATGACTTCGACAAACACATACACACACAAAACATTGGTGTTTCATATGAATTATGTTTTCAAAGGAAGTGTTTTGCATTGTCACGAGAGTGAGAAGAATATCCACAAATATGGTTGTGGGAAGTAAAAAAAAGAAATATGAAGGGTTTTTTGTTTTCATATAAATTATTGAACTACATGGTTAAAATAAACATAAGTGTAGGAAATTATTTGAGCCTTATGTCTGCTTAAGTATATTTCGAAGAAACAATTGCGACACGCTGGCTGGTGTGATCTCTAAGAATTACTATTGAGCTTCGGAACTAATGTTAGGCTACAAATATTTGAGTATAATAGTTATAATTTTTCATGTTTTCATCTATTTATATATCTTTTGTTAAGGTACAAATATTAGACTAGAAGGTAACACGAAAGTTAGTTTTCTATAGATATCATTGTTTTTGGAATTAATGTAGGTCCTTTAAATATGACACTTCCTCTAACAGCATTTCTTAAGATATATTCAATTTTATTAATATTTGTAATCCTATTAAATATTGGTATAAAATTATTTCCTTCAAAACACTAATATTTTCTCATGTTCTTTGTAACAATTATGAAGTTAGCGACATCGTATTTTTTTTTAACAAAAACAGGTCAATACAAAACACACATGTTAATAATTTTGTTAACATATCATACTTGAACCAGCATTTTAAAATGAATTATATGAGAAAAAAAAAAAAGTAACCTGGAAAGGTGTATGCATTCGACATAATATAGATAAGATTACATACCAGTGGTTCAACAACTTGTGTTGGGTAAGTATATGAACTCGGTTGCAGACAAGGTGGCGTACTAGAAACACTTGAAGTCATGTTTACTCCCATATTCCGTAACACATGAGTATAGACATATTTATGCCATGTGAATTCTCAATGCATAAAAAAACTTGCCACTTTCGATAGCTTATGAAGGAAAATGGGTAAGTGAATCAAGTTTATAATGGAGTGATATCAAAAGGTAGACTCAATCTGTAATTGGACATGGTAAACTCATTTATCAAATGTGAAATGAAATTTAGTTTTCGTAAGTCGTTGAATCCAAAAAAGAGATGCAAGCATCAGACTTGAAAAAAGCACAATCAGTATATCATTTATATGAACAAAATTTTCTCATAAAGCATTTAATAAGGTAACCCATAGATAAAAATAATAAATTTAATGAGATGCAAGCAAGCCACATGCCGCAATTCCTTAACTCCACTTAAAACACGTGCAAGCTACTATAAGATCGGGATAGCAGTACAAATGGCACAGCATTTTGGTTGTGACTATACCTTTTTCAATTTAAACTCTAGTGCCACGTTCTTGTAACAAAATATGCAACGTTTCCAAAAACATAGATTGTTAGTTTTTATCAAACAATTAAGATTAGATCAGAAGTCCTTTGTAATACAATTAAATGTCCTTCATATATAAACATACCATTAGACAAAATATAAATTCTTAACTTTATTTGATCGAAATGTAAGAATAAATGTATTAAACTTACTTTTCCATTTAGAAGCCCAAATCTTTTCCATTAACTATTTTAGTTTTATATATATTTTATTCAAAACTTCACATCTTTTTGTTAACACAATCAAACACAGCCTCACTGAATGTATGAAATCTAACCTTTACAAAACCCTATACATATATATGTGGTGATTGGTAACCTTCTAGATCTTTAACAAGCTGAATCCCCTCCAAAGAAAAAGTCACAGAAGCACAAATTCCCATCACACTAGATCGAATAACACAGACACATCTGAAAACCAGATAAGAAATGAATTCTAGGTAACAAAAAATTACACAAGCAAATGATGTAAAGAGATCCAATTAAGTACCAACAAAATACGAATCTAGAAATTACTATGAAACTCTGAATCATGTGAAATGCCCAGTAAGTACGCAAACAAAATAATTTTTAACTGTATGTGAATATCTATATATATAAATGGAGTTTGGAGAAAATTTCAAATTTTTTATCTAACCTGAGAAACTTAGTGTGACAAGGAAAAAATGACAGCTTTGAAAATTTTTAGAAACTTAAGAAAATGATTATTTTGCCTTTTGAAATCTAGTAAAATTTGGGACATGATAAAATTTGGTTAATATTAAATTGTATTTATAATTTCCTAAATCTAATTTTGTGAATGATAAATATAATTTCAAAAAATATTATTATATTTATTATTAGTTACCAACTATTTTTTATGGATAGTTTTAAGGATTATGTTCATTAAATTTAAAAAAATTTTAATATTTTGCATTGAATATATATAATATTATTTTTTCTGAAGTACAATGAAATTTATATAAAAATTTTGAACCCTAGTATTAAATTTTTAATATTATTTCCATAATTTCAAAGGGTAAATTTTATAATACCTCTTTGTGTTTTACAGTGTGACTACCTCGGCCTTCAACGCCTCGGTAAGCTCCATCGTCGTCAGTTCCCATTTCCGAGACTCCTCTTTCTCAGCATCGATCGAGACCAGTATCCCATCGTGCAACTCACTGCCCTCGAGTTCGCAGATACGTTGCTCAACCTCGTGAAGCTTGTCATGATGATCTCCAACGGTCAGCTCCACCCTGGCCAACCTGGTCTCGAATGATCCCATGACGCCCGCAGGCTGGTCCCTCGTGTTCCTCCGGCTCCGCCTCGGGACCTTGTTTTCAACCTCGAACTCAGCATCAGACGTATCGGTCGCCATCCCTCAAACGCAGCTCTGAGAGAAAGTCGACGTTTGCTCTTCAACTCAGTCTCCGCAAGGATCATACATTGTTTCTCCTTAACCCCCACTAACTCATTAAGGGACATTTGGTATGTAGACCGATGGGCTGGTCTTGCACCACTCACCTCATCGACACCATGATTGATCGTCCTACGAGGGGGTAGCCACTAAAAATACACAAAATACCTCATATATTACTATTGCATCAAAACCCCCTTGTGTTTGATTAACTTACACACAAAACACTCGTTTTCCATAGCCGATGTTTGATTGTAAATGTCCACCTAATTATGCAAGTTTTATATAAATAAGAATATCAAATATCTAAAATAGTATTTTTTTAATAAAAAATAATGAATTATTGATCGATTTTTTATTTTATAGTTTTTCTTTTTGTAAAATTTAATAGCAATTTGTCTCCAAAAAAATTACTAAATGTGTAACACAACGTTCAGCTCAAGTCAGAGTATTATCTCCATGCCACACCGGAAGACTCGTTTATTAACCAACGAACCTTACATTGTAGCGCTAAAGCTAAATACGCAACATAAGCAACTAATTAAATAGAAACTTAAAAGATAAAATGGACCGCCTTATCATATAAATAAATAAGGTTTGAGTGAAAACTATAAGCCAAAAATTTGTTCATAAAGTCTTAATTCTTAAAACATTAGTAGTAAATTCAAAAACATTGTAATAGATGACATAGTTATATTTTACCCAATGGATCATGCGACGTGGATGTATCATTTAAGCTTAGTGGGAGCACCATCATCTACAAAGGTAAATTAATACGGTATATGCCAAGACTCACATGCCCATATCAAAATAAAATTTCAAAAAATAGATTAAATGAAATTGAAAAAAATAGATAATTACAACTCACGCACACAAGTCTTTTAGTGTGTCCCTTAATCCTTCCGTCATTCTCAACTAATTGTGATGAACACATCACAAAGAAAACTCCATTAAGTCTTAATAGGGCTCACTCAACCCGGTTTACATACCTTATTGCTTCGCTTGACACTTCACAAAAATACACATAGCAAATATAGGTTCACAACCCTCAAAGAACTCCACAAATGTTACATGAGGGTTAGAGACCCAAAATACATGTAGATAACTTATTTATTAGTTTGTGAGGGTTGGATAACACGATCAAACCATCTACTCACATACATAACATAACAAGAGGGGATTGTACACAATTCATCTCTCCATTACATATGATGGTCTAAGGATCATTCCATCGTCAATGACGTGCACTTCGAAATCACACAAAAGGAAACTCGTCATCTCGATGCCCCGACTTAGTCCATTCGGGATATAGTTTGATGTTAGCTAGTTATTCTAAAATACTAGTATACCATCACGTATTTTCAAGGCACATAGGTGGAAGGCTACGCCTTATCATCCCATACGATTGATGATTTAATTTCAATTAACAGTTTGACCCAATACTCATTATACAATTAGGAAAATCTTAATAAAAATTAATTTCAACTCAAAATATAACATTTAGAAATATTTAACCAACTAGTCAATAAAGATATCGACTAAGAATCGTGCTTTGCAACATAAGTGAAAACTAAACACAAGTTTTTAAGTTTGCTCTTAAAACACTTTCACTTATCAACATTTTCATTTAATAGCTAAACAATAATGAAAATATTGACATTCAACAAATTCATTGAAAATCTCATATTCATTTGCCAGACAATCATTTTGACAATATGTCCATTCAAATAAACATAATCTAACTCAAAATATTATAATATTTAAAGATAATCATAGAATCTTCCCAAAAAAAGTCATAAACTAAGTTAGGACCACTACTAAAAATTGCTCTTTTGTAGCACTTCTATTGTCCGCAACAATAACTCTGTAATAAAAAGTACTTTTAGTTACCAAAAATATTGTAATAAAAAATATTATGTTTAGTCGACTTTTATTTTTTATTTGTTTCAATAATTCAACCGTAACAATCACAATGATAATGAAATACCATTGTAAATACATTTGTTACGCCTATAAACCGTAACTAAATGATAATTATGATAATTTTAAATTAAAATTTAAAAAAATTAATAAAATTATTTTTAAAAAAATTTAAAAAATAAAAAAATAAAAGTATTTTAGACCGTTGTAAATACATTTGTTACGCCTATAAACCGTAACTCAATTTCTCTCGCCTAACTCTCCTTCTATTATCGAACCCTCGTCGAAGCAAGCTCCGCCGTCTCCGGCGGTGAACTTCCGTTCACCAGATCCGGTCCACTGCCACTCCCACATCCTATCCTAGCCCCCGCTTCTATCTCTTGCCTCATTATCTATCTCGTGTCTATATGGTAGGTCGAGTCCGTTTAGTTACCATCGCAAGCTTGTGTTCGTTCTCTGACCATTTGCTACATGTAATGGCATCCCATCGTCGGCCCCCCAGGTTTTCCATCAGCCATTGCTTAGATTAAGCTATTCCCCGCTCAATCTCAGGTTGTCCCCATTGTTCTCCCTGTTTCATGGTTATCTCTCTTCTTCATTGTCGATGGTTTCTCGATGTGGGGATGGAGATGGATCAATTTTGGTAACATGTGGCTTATCTTTTTCTGTGTTCTTGCTTGATTATTGTGGATTCTTCATTGTTTGATTGTGGCTCGGTGTGATTTCAATTTCTGCTCTATTTGGTGGCGTTTTGTTTCGATGCTTCTGTGTTGGTGTTGTAGTTGGTTTGTGTATGGTTTGTCATTATAGAAAGAGGTGTTCTCAGCCATTGATGAATCATAAGGTTCACCTCGACCAAGCTTTGCCAATTTGTTCTAACCTCCACCACGCACACAATCAGTTCAACTAGTTGCATGTTTGAAATCGTGTGTTTGTTTCGCTATTTTGTGGTTTGAAGAATGCTACAAAACTGTGTTTTGTTAATTGAGGTTAATAAATGGATGAATAAGATGAAGAGGATGATAACACTCTTGATTTTGAAAGATAAATGAGTTTGTGAATTAACATATTTGGTTTTTTATTGTTGTTTAATCAATCTATCTATGAATCTAGGTCTTGAATATGTAGTTCAATGCTCTCAATTTACTATACACTATAGTGTGAGTGAAAGAAATCTAGATAAAGCGAAGAGTTTACTTGCAGTGTTTATTTAGCACTAAAGTAAAACTATTGGGAATCAATTTTGAAATAAAAACTGCTTTTCTTTTAATTTGATTTTCTAAATCTTGATGGAGGTTAGAGATTAAAACATAAGATTGGAATGAAGAATTAATGTTTTATGGGGGGCATATTTTAGAATTATGTTGCTGCTGGTAAGTGAAGGTTATTCATATTTGTGTAATTGTGTTATTACGGTATATAGTTGGAGGAAATGAAGTAGTTGTTGTTCCTTGCTCGCTAATATCAACATCGTGTGCAACCTCACTCAACCTCTCTCTTTTCTTAACAATCATGGCCATGATAAATGATCATAAGTTCATCAGCTTACCTCTGATCCAAAAACTGAATTATTTAGCACACAATTGGAGGTATACGGTGTATGTATATACATATACATATGTAATGGGTTTCTATGTACGTATGTATTTGTATTCATTAAAATGGTAGCATATACAACGATCTATATCTATGTAACTAGCAACGATATTTATTGGATTATGAATGAGCTTCATGCAAATCATCACTTCCTCTTGTATCAATGAAGATATCAATTTGAAACTTTCTTTTCATGTTCTAAAATAAGCTTTTCTTTCTGATGTTCCACTATGTCATAATGTTAATAAGCTTATACTCTTGTCTGATTGTTAGATTTTGTTCTTTTTTAACAACCAATCACTGCGTTTCTGTGAGCCCTATGTTTTATTAATTGAAAAACCTTGGGCAATGTTCTGGCAACTTCTCTGTATTTGATTGATTATTGTATCTTATGTGGTTAGATTGTTCCTTTGATGAATGTGGTACTCCATCCTCCGATAGCATGATGGCAGTCGGTTTCGTCCTCCGTATATTTATACTTTTGTCTTATATCCTTACCATTTTGTCCCCCATGTTTTACTATCAATTGAATTGTAAGTTCACGCACCATCATGATTATTGTTGTTTATTATTTGACCATATTTGCTTGTTTGAACTAGTTTATGTAGGCAACCAATACTTATAGTAGTCTTTGTTTTGATCCCTTGTTCATCATATCAAGCCTTACAAATCTTTAGTTTATTATAAGATAGATGTTGGGTATATTTTTTGTGTAGAATTTGCTTATGCCTGGGCATCAAACTTACATTTCAAATAGTTTGCAATAGAACAATTGTAAGGACAAAGATATTAAGGGTTTATATTTTTTCTCCCACAATGTGGAAAACTTGCCATTACGAATGGCCATAGGAATTTAGTCATACTACCTTCAAGAGATTTCCCTACATGGAAAATATCTAAACCAATTACATATATACATACAGCTGTACATATAAGCATTGCAATAAAGTTATGCATATATATGTAAAGACTTCACTCTATTCCTGCTGAATCATGTTCCCCTCTCTCTTTTCCTCTTTCAGACTTGTGAGTTGAGGGGCAAAAGAGAAAGGAGAAAGGACAAGCTGTATGCTACTGCTACCATAACATACCAATCTAGGTAATCCGACAGGTACTTCTTAAGAAGATTTCTTTTTTTTGAGAGGCAAGAGTGCTGAGAAGAATTGCAAGTGGTGATTAGTTTCTTTCTTTTTACTGTTATACACAAAAGTGATTCACATATTATCAATATTTATCTATATATCCAATGTCAAATCTAGGTTGGGGTTGAACTAACTTATGGAATCGAATTATTATCCAACCGCCAGTCTTGGTCCTATCAACAAGAAAACCTTTGTAATCCACAACAAATGCCACTATCAAACTTATCTATGCTGCACCATCTGCAGCCTGCAATATTTATACATAGATTGTTAGATAAGGTTGTTCTAATGAATAAGCTATTTCAAGAATATATATTATGATGATGGTGTATTTAAAGGGTTAGTTAACTACTAACCATAAAGGTAGGTTTTCTGCTTCTTGCTTGCTTTGTTGTGTGCAATAGATTTTGGTTTCTTTGGGTTAGGCTCAGTCAACTTAAGTGGGAAAGAGATGATGAAGAAGAGAGAAGATGGAGCAGTTTTAGTTGCAGGCTGGTTTAGTAAATATTATTGCTGGAGGCTGTTCTCTACTTGATTACATTATATTAATATAGTCGCAATTATGTAACTACTAGATTGTTAATTGCGTCTAGTTAGTCTAAATTAGCATGTTCCCATTAATTGTTAAATTGCAATTTTTGTTACTGCAATATTGATTATGTTTGTTATTGTTGTTTGTTTAAATTATATTTGGATAAGTGCTCATTGACTAATTATTTTGCTAGATGATTAATCTTGTTTTTATTTATATTAGTATAGGGGCTGTTCGTGGATATTTATTTTATTATTTGGCGTAACTTAATAGTGGTAAGTAGTTGGATGGCACATATTGGGATTGAGATTGGTATTGGATGGCATCGGAAAATTTGTTGGCATCTGCTGATATTGTTGTAGGGACTTTTATTTGGGTATCAAGTAGTTGTATGGTCGAATTTTCTATGTAGAGCTTGATTGGTGGTTATTTGTTGCCATAGGAGATATCTTATTTTTCTTGCTGAAGGATTTTCCCCGTATTGTATAATTTTAGTTGTATGGACTGATATGAATTATGATTGTGGTGGTTTATAAATGTTGTTTTATCAGTGTTGGGAGAGTTGTTTCGTAGTTTATTGTTGTGTGGTTTATCTTCCTAATGTTTGGTGGTCAGTCTTCTTGACTAATGCTTTCGGTTGTAGACATTGCTATATTCATATTTAAGATAGTGTCCATAGATCAAACTGAAGGATAACTTTTATTTTATTATGAAGTTTCCATTGCTATCATTACTTGATGTAATTATATCTTTTATTATATTCATTCATTTTGGTTAGAGATATCATATTTCCTAATATTAGCTTTGGTTTTACATTTTTATATAGGTGATACCCTAGCTATTGTCAAGGCATTTGTTACCGTTGTTACAGTCCCGGTGACCGTACTTATTCTCCCAAGTAATGCCGGAGTGAAATGCTCGATGAGGTACTCGACGAAGAAAACATCAAGTGGACTTACAAGGTTGTACAATTTCTTTAAAAATGTTTATTCTTTTGGGAATTAAATTACTTTAGATGCTGATATAATTCCTATATATCATTGGAAACACGTTGCAGTTGGTTGACCGCCTTTGATTGCTTTATTTGTGATTTTGCACTCGATGAGCTTGGTCGTTCATAGTTGTATTTGTTAGTCGACCTTAGGATTGTGCAATTTGATACCATATTTATTTATTTCACGTATTACTTTTGAATTTGGGGATCAAGTGTTAGCAAGTTGTTTGGTTGTTATGGTGTATGGCATGGTGACTTTTGAAGATGTTTTAAAGTACGGTTAACATCTAGTATTCTATTTTTGACACGAACATAAATGTTGTTGGATTGATGTCATTGTGCATATATGAAAAAGGATTTCAGATTAATTATGATAATATTATGTTCTAAATTATTTGTCATGCAAATTGATCAATAAAAAAATTAACGATTGGATTTTATTCGTGGCGACAAAATCCTTATTTGAGACAGACACCTTTTGTAGCGGATTTTTTATTACGGACAATGGCTGGTACAAAAAGTGTTGTACGTTTGCATTAAATTTCTATCGAATTTTTCGTTGCGGAAAAATTTTGCAACAAACAGTTCTCTGACAGGACACTACTTTTGTAACGCAATTTTTTGTTACGGACGAAATTGCAACAAAAAGTTTTCTAGCAAGATTCCATATTTGTACCGCATTTTTCGTTTCGAAAATATGTCCTAACAAATAGTTCTCTGACAGGATTTAACTTTTGTTCCAAATATTTTGTTACGGACATATGTTGTTCCAAAAACATGATCGATGTTTTTGTTACGTACAAGAAACGCAACAAATACAATAAACACGTGCTTATTTTGAGGGTTGACCGCCACTTATTTGTTACGGAATTTGTTGCAACCTAGACTTTTTGTACCGCGATTTTTTGTAGCGGTCAAAATCCGTAACAGAGTTGACACAAAAGGCTATTTTGTACAAAAATTGGATTTTCGTGTAGTGGACAAAACTATGGTTTCAACAATTTTCAACTTAAAACACCATAGTAGAAGAAGAAACCAAGAAGAGAAGCTTTAATGGAGAAAACTTTCAAAAAAAGGAGGGAGTTGGGCACGACTGGAGCTGTAGGAGAAGAAAGCTGAAACTTAATCCGGTTGTTCTCTATCGTTTTCTTTTATGAAAATAGATATTAGTTTATTTCTTTTATTTTATCCAAAACATAATTTACCCCTAAACTCTAATCCAATTTACCTATTTTTTTACGTCAAAGCCCAAAATAAATTTCAGTCCAAAAGAAAATAGTTTAACTCTGTCTCAAACTCCGACAAGTTCTCGCAAATTTCTGGTAATTTATTTTGCTGGGTATTATACTTATAGATTATTTTTTTTATTAATTATTATCTTCTATTTCGTTATTAATTATTTTACATAATAAATCTATAATATAATTTAGGTATTTTTTATTCAGATGTATGAATTTAGGTTTATCTTTAGAATTTTGTTATTTATATTTATTGCATATATTGAATCTATGTTTATCTCTCTTTTTAAAAATTAATTTATTATTATTATCAATAGTAATTTATTACTTTATTTTGGATTTGGATTTCTTAAATAGTAAAATTTTGATTTGGAATATTTATTTGATGTTGTTATGAAATCAATGGAAAAAAAAAAAAACCCAAAAAAAATTCTTTAATCCATAAATAAGTGAAAAACTAAAGAGACACCCTTATGTAGTTTCTGTAAATTTATACATGGAAGGATAGAGATGAAAAGAATTCCACTAATAAAATAAGGTCTCAAATACAATTTGTCCCCAAAAATCACCATAAATCAATAAAAAAAAATAAAACAAGATAAGACCGAATTTCCTTTTTGAAAATTCCAAAAAAAACAACCGCTTCTCTTAATTGAAATAAATAGCACCAACCAAAAACAATCATACTACGTCGTCAGCGGTTTTATGCTTCCTTTCTTGGATTTCACGGCTGTAATTAATTAGGTTTACGGGTTAATTATGGGGCTTGAAAAATATGTTTAATTTCAAGTTATAAAATAATAAATCTGCAGCTTCACCTGAAATTATCAAACTTTTAAAAAACAAAAATCCACAATGCCACCTCCTCCAATGCCCCTTGGGGGACTAACATACTGCATCACTCGATCAAGTCTAAGAAGCGTCTGAATTCGGACACCACCAATAGTTTTATTTTCATATCCACTGAATTATCTACATTGGAGTTATTTTTAAAATTTTCTATTGCAGGCAAAATAAATAATAAATAAATAAAAATCTGCCCGATTTATTTATCTCCTCTTATGGCCAAGACGATAAGCCACAAACGAGTATTGTTTGAATCATGATTTGATGGAAAATTTGTGAAAACTAACGCAGAACCTATAACAATGCTGGCTTGAAGTAAATAGAGACTCTTTACCAAATTTTCATCCATCGCAACCAAAAGACCACTATAAACCGGTAGAATTCCTCCGGCACACGCCGAAGGAAATAAGATTTTTATTCAACTCTGGCACAAATCAAACATTAGTCAATGTACTCACAATAACATCATGAATCTTTATTCAAATATTTCCTATTTCAGCCACCTTACAAACTATATCATTCCCTATCGATATAACTACACCTTCAACTGGATGTTACACGAAAAACCAATCTATGTTAGAACACATATGATAGGAGCTATCCAAATTAAATACCCAACTGCCATTAACTAACCCATTTGATACTGGAAGAAATTTTTCATATTCTATATTTTCCTTGGCAAAGCAAACCGAATGATTAGCGGTTGAGGAGTCGGTAATACTTTTCTTTCCTCTAAGTTTTGGACATTTATCTTTCAAGTGAGCTTCCTCTTTGAAGTAATGACAATAATTCCTACTGACTCTAGATCTGCCTTTGTTATTCGTCGAACTTGATCCACCTCAAGCAACAAAACCATCAGTTTGATCATCAGTAAAGTTTTCAGACACCTTCTGCTTTAATTCCTTAGAACTGAACGACGTTTTTACATTTTCTAAGAAAGAATGTGACGACTATATGATATTGTACCAACAAAATTTTCAAACGAACAATGTAAAGAACATAACATAATCAATACCTTTTTCTTTATCATCAATATTCTTCAAAGACATAATAATATATTCGAAATCAAATTGATGATTCATAATCGGCGTACCTTTTTCATACAAAAAGTGTAGAACTATTACTTCAAATAAGATCGTATAGTCAATGACTTCATCATATATAATGCTTCCGATCTGGTCCACAAAATTTTTGGCGATTTCTTATTTGCGAAAGTGCACAAAATATCATCACAATAAACCTCTGCATTTAATATTTCTAGGCTGTTTTTTTTTTTTTTTTTTGATATAGAGATATCATAAATTAGAAGTGCACAATAGCTTTCCTACCAATTCATAACATATATTTTATTTATTAAAAAATACATCATATAATAATTTTTCATCCCCATTTTCCATTCCCAATTTTTCCACAAATTCCTTGCACCCAATGTTACTCCCAATACCTTTTTCTTACTGTGCAAATGAAATCTCCCACGCATCTTTAACTGAAGGTCCTATGAACGACAATATCATAAATTCCATTAATTTGGAGATCAACCCCAATGCCGCGTACAACAACATGAAAACTTGGAATTTCCCAAACCTTACCACGGAAAGCTCTTCGTCCAGTGTATAAACATGCCCGACGCTACCACTCTCCATCCCTTCATGATATTCCAAAATCATAAATTTGAAAACAGGACAACAATCATCGGTTACTACGTCTGTAATTAAAAGAAAGTGAGTAAATTAGTGTCTTTTCAAGATCAGTATAACTACCGTGCTTGTGGGGCCTGCGCTTAGCTCGATTAGTCATCGAATTTGTCTGAATGGAACTGCGGGGGAAAGATAGGATGATAAAACAGATGGATATGTAGTTTGAAAGATCCATTAATTAATAGCAGTGGGTGATTAAATCCAATGAGACAATATATATAAAGTATGTACTTAAAAGATCATTTGTTACTCAATTTCATATACACTAAAAAAGTTGATCTAGATCTTGTAAAATTTGATACTTATATAGTGAAATGGAGACACTATGAATTTAGTGTGCAGCACATGTGAATCATGAACCATATATTTGCATGCTTTGCATATATTCATATATTGAATACAGAAAAATATATATATATATTAAAATGCTTCATATATTTGTATACGTTGCATACAATTTTCAATTTTTTTTTATTGAAATTTTAACCCTAAACCCAAAACAGCAAACAAATACACTTATTGATTAATTAAAATTATTATTTTTTGAATCATGTAAAAAATTATTAGTATTTTTTGTTGTATTTTTTCAACAATAAAAAAAGTAAAATCCGAAAATAGGAAATTATCTTCGAATTTGATATAATTAGTGTCTCAGATTAGGAATCTCTACACACTGTAGGATACATAAATAGAATAGGAAAATATAAAATAAAGGCTGGATGTCGATTGAAGATGGTTTCTTAGGTCAGGAACAGACCTATTTAAAACCCTTTAAAGAAACGGTTTGAACCGCCGTCTGGTCGGTTACAGCAACTGCTGTCAACCGCCCAGAAAGTCATCTTCTGTCGACGCGTGTGTTAACTGACTCACCAACCGCTCGCGCTAGTTACAGCACTCAACTGTCTCGGCCGACTGCCTTCCGACCGCCTCTGAAGACCTCACCGCCTTAAATGGGCGGCTGGTCCCGACCGACTACTCAACCGCCCAGATAATAACCTCTGGCTTCTAAGATAGGTCGCTGGATCAAACGACTCATCGGCCGCCCCATAAAGCGACCACCATCTGATTTCTCCAATCGGCTGAACAACGAATCATCCAGACGATTTAATGGTCGCCCCAACCAAGCGACTGAACTACTGTTTACTTAAGTAGGCGACCAATTAACAGACCCTATTTCGACCGACCTCAGTTTCAGCCGACCTTGTTTGCCCGACTTCCTGTTTCGACCGACCTCAGTATCAGCCGTCCTTCTTCACCCGACTTCCTGTTTCGACCGACCTCAGTACCAGCCGACCTTCTTCGCCTGACTTCCTCTTTC